GGCGTCTGTCTGTGGTAGACTGGAGCAGTCCTCTGTCTGTGGTAGACTGGAGCAGGCGTCTGTCTGTGGGAGACTGGAGCAGGCGTCTGTCTGTGGGAGACTGGAGCAGGCGTCTGTCTGTGGTAGACTGGAGCAGGCCTCTGTCTGTGGGAGACTGGAGCAGGCGTCTGTCTGTGGGAGACAGGAGCAGGCGTCTGTCTGTGGTAGACAGGAGCAGGCATCTGGCTGTGGGAGACTGGAGCAGGCGTCTGTTTGTGGGAGACTGGAGCAGGCGTCTGTCTGTGGTAGACTGGAGCAGGCCTCTGTCTGTGGGAGACTGGAGCAGGCGTCTGTCTGTGGGAGACAGGAGCAGGCGTCTGTCTGTGGTAGACAGGAGCAGGCATCTGGCTGTGGGAGACTGGAGCAGGCGTCTGTCTTTGGGGAGACTGGAGCAGGCATCTGTCTGTGGGAGACTGGAGCAGGCGTCTGTCTGTGGTAGACTGGAGCAGGCGTCTGTCTGTGGTAGACTGGAGCAGGCGTCTGTTTGTGGGAGACTGGAACAGGCGTCTGTCTGTGGGAGACTGGAGCAGGCGTCTCTCTGTGGGAGACTGGAGCAGGCGTCTGTCTGTGGGAGACTGGAGCAGGCGTCTGTCTGTTGTAGACTGGAGCAGGCGTCTGTCTGTGGGAGACTGGAGCAGGCGTCTGTCTGTGGGAGACTGGAGCAGGCGTCTGTCTGTGGTAGACTGGAGCAGACGTCTGTCTGTGGTAGACTGGAGCAGGCGTCTGTCTGTGGTAGACTGGAGCAGGCGTCTGTCTTTGGGAGACTGGAGCAGGCGTCTGTCTGTGGTAGACTGGAGCAGGCGTCTGTCTGTGGGAGACTGGAGCAGGAGTCTGTCTGTGGTAGACTGGAGCAGGCGTCTGGCTGTGGTAGACTGGAGCAGGCGCCTTTCTGTTGTAGACTGGAGCAGGCGTCTGGCTGTGGTACACTGGAGCAGACGTCTGTCTGTGGGAGACTGGAGCAGGCGTCTGTCTCTGGGAGACAGGAGCAGGCGTCTGTCTGTGGTAGACTCGAGCAGGCGTCTGGCTGTGGGAGACAGGAACAGGCGTCTGTCTGTGGTAGACTGGAGCAAGGGTCTGGCTGTGGGAGACAGGAGAAATTGTCTGTCTGTGGGAGACAGGAACAGGCGTCTGTCTGTGGTAGACTGGAGCAGGCGTCTGTCTGTGGTAGACTGGAGCAGGCGTCTGTCTGTGGGAGACTGGAGCAGGCGTCTGTCTGTGGGAGACTGGAGCAGGTGTCTGTCTGTGGTAGACTGGAGCAGGCCTCTGTCTATCGTAGACTGGAGCAGGCCTCTGTCTGTGGTAGACTGGAGCAGGCGTCTGTCTGTGGAAGACTAGAGCAGGCGTCTGTCTGTGGGAGACAGGAGCAGGCGTCTGTCTGTGGGAGACTGGAGCAGGCGTCTGTCTGTGGGAGACTGGACCAGGCGTCTGTCTGTGGGAGACTGGAGCAGGCATCTGTCTGTGGGAGACAGGAGTAGGTATCTGTCTGCGGGAGACAGGATCAGGCCTCTGTCTGTGGGAGACAGGAGCAGGCGTCTGTCTGTGGGAAACAGGAGCAGGTATCTGTCTGTGGGAGACAGGAGCAGGCGTCTGTCTGTGGTAGACAGGAGCAGGCATCTGTCTGCGGGAGACAGGATCAGGAGTCAGTCTGTGGGAGACTGGAGCAGGCGTTTGTCTGTGGGAGACAGGAGTAGGTATCTGTCTGTGGTAGACAGGAGCAGGCGTCTGTCTTTGGGAGACAGGAGCAGGCATCTGTCAGTGGGAGACAGGAGCAGGTATCTGTCTGTGGGAGACAGGAGCAGGCGTCTGTCTGTGGGAGACAGGAGCAGGCATCTGTCTGTGGGAGACAGGAGCAGGCATCTGTCTCTAGGAGACAGGAGCAGGCGTCTGTCTGTGGTAGACTGGAGCAGGCGTCTGTCTGTGGTAGACTGGAGCAGGCGTCTGTCTGTGGGAGACTGGAGCAGGCGTCTGTCTGTGGGAGAATGGAGCAGGTGTCTGTCTGTGGTAGACTGGAGCAGGCGTCTGTCTGTGGGAGACTGGAGCAGGCGTCTGTCTGTGGTAGACTGGAGCAGGCGTCTGTCTGTGGGAGACTGGAGCAGGCGTCTGTCTGTGGGAGACAGGAGCAGGCGTCTGTCTGTGGGAGACTGGAGCAGGCGTCTGTCTGTGGGAGACAGGAGCAGGCGTCTGTCTGTGGGAGACTGGACCAGGCGTCTGTCTGTGGGAGACTTGAGCAGGCATCTGTCTGTGGGAGACTGGAGCAGGCGTCTGTCTGTGGGAGACTGGAGCAGGTGTCTGGCTGTGGTAGACTGGAGCAGGCGTCTGTCTGTGGGAGACTGGAGCAGGCGTCTGTCTGTGGGAGACTGGAGCAGGCGTCTGTCTGTGGTAGACTGGAGCAGGCGTCTGTCTGTGGTAGACTGGAGCAGTCCTCTGTCTGTGGTAGACTGGAGCAGGCGTCTGTCTGTGGGAGACTGGAGCAGGCGTCTGTCTGTGGGAGACTGGAGCAGGCGTCTGTCTGTGGTAGACTGGAGCAGGCCTCTGTCTGTGGGAGACTGGAGCAGGCGTCTGTCTGTGGGAGACAGGAGCAGGCGTCTGTCTGTGGTAGACAGGAGCAGGCATCTGGCTGTGGGAGACTGGAGCAGGCGTCTGTTTGTGGGAGACTGGAGCAGGCGTCTGTCTGTGGTAGACTGGAGCAGGCCTCTGTCTGTGGGAGACTGGAGCAGGCGTCTGTCTGTGGGAGACAGGAGCAGGCGTCTGTCTGTGGTAGACAGGAGCAGGCATCTGGCTGTGGGAGACTGGAGCAGGCGTCTGTCTTTGGGAGACTGGAGCAGGCATCTGTCTGTGGGAGACTGGAGCAGGCGTCTGTCTGTGGTAGACTGGAGCAGGCGTCTGTCTGTGGTAGACTGGAGCAGGCGTCTGTTTGTGGGAGACTGGAACAGGCGTCTGTCTGTGGGAGACTGGAGCAGGCGTCTCTCTGTGGGAGACTGGAGCAGGCGTCTGTCTGTGGGAGACTGGAGCAGGCGTCTGTCTGTTGTAGACTGGAGCAGGCGTCTGTCTGTGGGAGACTGGAGCAGGCGTCTGTCTGTGGGAGACTGGAGCAGGCGTCTGTCTGTGGTAGACTGGAGCAGACGTCTGTCTGTGGTAGACTGGAGCAGGCGTCTGTCTGTGGTAGACTGGAGCAGGCGTCTGTCTTTGGGAGACTGGAGCAGGCGTCTGTCTGTGGGAGACTGGAGCAGGCGTCTGTCTGTGGTAGACTGGAGCAGGCGTCTGTCTGTGGTAGACTGGAGCAGGCGTCTGTCTGTGGTAGACTGGAGCAGTCCTCTGTCTGTGGTAGACTGGAGCAGGCGTCTGTCTGTGGGAGACTGGAGCAGGCGTCTGTCTGTGGGAGACTGGAGCAGGCGTCTGTCTGTGGTAGACTGGAGCAGGCCTCTGTCTGTGGGAGACTGGAGCAGGCGTCTGTCTGTGGGAGACAGGAGCAGGCGTCTGTCTGTGGTAGACAGGAGCAGGCATCTGGCTGTGGGAGACTGGAGCAGGCGTCTGTTTGTGGGAGACTGGAGCAGGCGTCTGTCTGTGGTAGACTGGAGCAGGCCTCTGTCTGTGGGAGACTGGAGCAGGCGTCTGTCTGTGGGAGACAGGAGCAGGCGTCTGTCTGTGGTAGACAGGAGCAGGCATCTGGCTGTGGGAGACTGGAGCAGGCGTCTGTCTTTGGGAGACTGGAGCAGGCATCTGTCTGTGGGAGACTGGAGCAGGCGTCTGTCTGTGGTAGACTGGAGCAGGCGTCTGTCTGTGGTAGACTGGAGCAGGCGTCTGTTTGTGGGAGACTGGAACAGGCGTCTGTCTGTGGGAGACTGGAGCAGGCGTCTCTCTGTGGGAGACTGGAGCAGGCGTCTGTCTGTGGGAGACTGGAGCAGGCGTCTGTCTGTTGTAGACTGGAGCAGGCGTCTGTCTGTGGGAGACTGGAGCAGGCGTCTGTCTGTGGGAGACTGGAGCAGGCGTCTGTCTGTGGTAGACTGGAGCAGACGTCTGTCTGTGGTAGACTGGAGCAGGCGTCTGTCTGTGGTAGACTGGAGCAGGCGTCTGTCTTTGGGAGACTGGAGCAGGCGTCTGTCTGTGGTAGACTGGAGCAGGCGTCTGTCTGTGGGAGACTGGAGCAGGAGTCTGTCTGTGGTAGACTGGAGCAGGCGTCTGGCTGTGGTAGACTGGAGCAGGCGCCTTTCTGTTGTAGACTGGAGCAGGCGTCTGGCTGTGGTACACTGGAGCAGACGTCTGTCTGTGGGAGACTGGAGCAGGCGTCTGTCTCTGGGAGACAGGAGCAGGCGTCTGTCTGTGGTAGACTCGAGCAGGCGTCTGGCTGTGGGAGACAGGAACAGGCGTCTGTCTGTGGTAGACTGGAGCAAGGGTCTGGCTGTGGGAGACAGGAGAAATTGTCTGTCTGTGGGAGACAGGAACAGGCGTCTGTCTGTGGTAGACTGGAGCAGGCGTCTGTCTGTGGTAGACTGGAGCAGGCGTCTGTCTGTGGGAGACTGGAGCAGGCGTCTGTCTGTGGGAGACTGGAGCAGGTGTCTGTCTGTGGTAGACTGGAGCAGGCCTCTGTCTATCGTAGACTGGAGCAGGCCTCTGTCTGTGGTAGACTGGAGCAGGCGTCTGTCTGTGGAAGACTAGAGCAGGCGTCTGTCTGTGGGAGACAGGAGCAGGCGTCTGTCTGTGGGAGACTGGAGCAGGCGTCTGTCTGTGGGAGACTGGACCAGGCGTCTGTCTGTGGGAGACTGGAGCAGGCATCTGTCTGTGGGAGACAGGAGTAGGTATCTGTCTGCGGGAGACAGGATCAGGCCTCTGTCTGTGGGAGACAGGAGCAGGCGTCTGTCTGTGGGAAACAGGAGCAGGTATCTGTCTGTGGGAGACAGGAGCAGGCGTCTGTCTGTGGTAGACAGGAGCAGGCATCTGTCTGCGGGAGACAGGATCAGGAGTCAGTCTGTGGGAGACTGGAGCAGGCGTTTGTCTGTGGGAGACAGGAGTAGGTATCTGTCTGTGGTAGACAGGAGCAGGCGTCTGTCTTTGGGAGACAGGAGCAGGCATCTGTCAGTGGGAGACAGGAGCAGGTATCTGTCTGTGGGAGACAGGAGCAGGCGTCTGTCTGTGGGAGACAGGAGCAGGCATCTGTCTGTGGGAGACAGGAGCAGGCATCTGTCTCTAGGAGACAGGAGCAGGCGTCTGTCTGTGGTAGACTGGAGCAGGCGTCTGTCTGTGGTAGACTGGAGCAGGCGTCTGTCTGTGGGAGACTGGAGCAGGCGTCTGTCTGTGGGAGAATGGAGCAGGTGTCTGTCTGTGGTAGACTGGAGCAGGCGTCTGTCTGTGGGAGACTGGAGCAGGCGTCTGTCTGTGGTAGACTGGAGCAGGCGTCTGTCTGTGGGAGACTGGAGCAGGCGTCTGTCTGTGGGAGACAGGAGCAGGCGTCTGTCTGTGGGAGACTGGAGCAGGCGTCTGTCTGTGGGAGACAGGAGCAGGCGTCTGTCTGTGGGAGACTGGACCAGGCGTCTGTCTGTGGGAGACTTGAGCAGGCATCTGTCTGTGGGAGACAGGAGTAGGTATCTGTCTGCGGGAGACAGGATCAGGCGTCTGTCTGTGGGAGACAGGAGCAGGCGTCTGTCTGTGGGTAACAGGAGCAGGTATCTGTCTGTGGGAGACAGGAGCAGGCGTCTGTCTGTGGTAGACAATAGCAGGCATCTGTCTGCGGGAGACAGGATCAGGCGTCAGTCTGTGGGAGACTGGAGCAGGCGTTTGTCTGTGGGAGACAGGAGTAGTTATCTGTCTTTGGTAGACAGGAGCAGGCGTCTGTCTGTGGGAGACAGGAGCAGGCATCTGTCTGTGGGAGACAGGAGCAGGCGTCTTTCTGTGGGAGACAGGAGCAGGCATCTGTCTGTGGGAGTCAGGAGCAGGCATCTGTCTCTAGGAGACAAGAGCAGGCGTCTGCCTGTGGGAGACAGGAGCAGGCATCTAACTGTGGTAGACAGGAGCAAAAAATGTGTCAATGTCTGTCACCTTGATTACTCAAATCTCTCTCGACCTGTGCACCTACGTTTCATTCATAGGCTACGTAGTAGCAACCCCCTGATGGGTATAGGGAAAATGTGAGTATTTTTTTTGTCATTTAGCAGACGCTCTTATCCAGAGCGACTTACTGTTAGTGAGTGCATACATTTTTCATACTGAGTATCATGTAGTAGCCTAAATATATCGATGTTACATTGAGCTGGGTGAATGGAATATGAATGACAGTCATCCAATATGCTATAACAGAAATAAGGCCACGTGAATAAAGAAAATAATCGTCCTCCCTCGTCTTAAACGGCACCAACCGCCACTGGTTTGAACAGTTCCTCTCTAGCCCAGATTGAAATACCAACGTCCTCATTATGATCGCATATAACGCACAGGCACCATCAATGTGGGAGTCTTGTAATGTTTCATTTGTGTGATGAAACCTAAACCCGCCCACCTCCTCAGCCCACAGGCAGAAGATAGCCGTTAACAGGAAGCCTGAATCAGAGTGCATCAACCATGACAGTCATCCCCTGTTCTAATCCTTGGTGTGATGACTCGGAGGTTTAACAGCCTGCCAGGGCAAATGGGGGCTTCCAGTCAGCCGCGGTTAGTGCCTCCCATGTCAAAACTCGATAATAGTACCTTCCTCCCATTGGCTCCCAAGGGATGTAGTGTCAGAGTTTATTGGCTCCTCAATTGTGGCTCTGTTGTCCCACCCCTGTGTTTTAAAGTGAACTTTTCCACCAGCAACCACCTCTTTCTCTCCCTCCCCTCCACTCCCCTTCCAGTCAACATTGGTTAGCTGCGGCGGTGGCGCCCATGGCAGACAGCTATTACAGGATTGGCCTGGATATGCCATTAACCTGTCTGCAGATGGGCCTCCCTGGAGGAGCAGTGTGGCGTTCAGAGGGGAAACACGTTTTTATGGGGCACCAGAACCTCCCATTTGGCATAGTTGTGGTTGTGGTTGTGGGTGAGGGACGAGGATTGTCCCTTGAGTGTTAGTTAGGGATAAGAGTCATTTTCAGTCAAATAACTAATCATTTCTACACCAATGCATTCATAGAAAAACACTACAAGGAACAGAAAAGAGAAATGTGCTAACCTGTGCTTCTTTCAAGGATTTACTCCTACAGCATTGTGTACTTGCCCAACCTTACTGTTTTTTCACATGAACCTATCATATTTTCCCATATCTGGGTACAACACAAGCAATAAAAGAGGGATGCCCTCTCTTTCTGTGACCCAGTGATTACCTCTCCCCTGACTGCATCAGAGCTGGAGATGGAACCGTTCAATACCCATAAAGTGACTCCCTGTCTCTGTCTGGCCCTGCCTGAACACTGTGACAGCCAGAGAGGAGCTGAGAGGTATACACAGCAGACTTCAAACAGACTGCGACAGACAGGACAAGGGTCCTCTGCCAACTGAGACATCTACACTATACTGCTGCAGTGGAAAAACAGCCCCGGGTGAGTGCTATCAAGCTAGCTACAGTAAGTCATGTGTACAGAATTAACTGAGCATTGATAATCTCCTGAAGGTGTTTTGAACAGAACAGCCAGCCAACACAGTGAGGATCACATGATTTAATGTGCCTGGACTGATTGAATGACCGTCAATAAAAAAGACAAATAGACTCTTAAACATAAGTGAGAAGAGGAGATGGAGGAGAGCAGGCTCATTGTCTCAACATTAGCTCCGGGCGCAGCCAGTGAGGACATTGTCAAACACACACACAAAGTCCCCCCGGGCTCAGGGTGATACATCAGAGGAGATGAGGCATGCCATTTAACCAGCGATAAAACCTCCTACTCCTTATTCAATAAGATAACCCATTCACTCTTCACTTCTGCCCTTCAGCAAAGTACCGATATCAGCATGGTTCACAATGAGGACATCTGACAAAGCTTTCTTTTGATCCATTTCAGTAGAGATGGCTATGAAGGTTGATAGGATTAATTCAATTTAAAGTTATACCCAGTCACACAGTAGGGCTGGGTGAGGTGTCGAATTATGGATCAATTCATCAAGTCAAGGATCCTTATGAAAAGTTCATAACTTATAATGGCAGTCTGTCATGATCGTTACAGGAAGAAGCGGACCAAGGCGCAGCGTGGTAAGCGTACATCTTTTATTAAGTACACACACAAACAAAACAACAAACCAAACGATACGTGAAGTCCTAGGTTAATACACCAAAACAAACCTTACGGAAACAAGATCCCACAAATAACTAGTGCCAACAGGCTGCCTAAGTATGGTTCCCAATCAGAGACAACGAGAATCAGCTGCCTCTGATTGGGAACCACCCTGGCCAACATAGATCTACACGAACTAGATCATGACATAGAAAATGACACATAGAAAATTCACACCCTGGCTCAACTTATAAGAGTCCCCAGAGCCAGGGCGTGACACAGTCATCTTCCATGCTTATTAACAGGATTTGTAAGATGTTGGCATCTAGTTAATTCCAAACTTATATGGATTTAGAATAAACAGGATCTTAAGTGAAATGAGAGACAAAAGTGAGAAAATAGGTTGCGTCGTGGAGGAAAGAAAAGGTGTCTTGTGGGCAGTGAAGAATTCCCCAGAGAATAGAGCATCTTCAGCAAGGGCTTAAGAATATGATAATATATGATATGTAGAATATGATCATATATTATATGTAGAATATGATCATATATTATATGTAGAATATGATAATATATGATATGTAGAATATGATCATATATGATATGTAGAATATGATCATATATGATCTGTAGAATACGATAATATGTTATATATAGAATATGAGCATATATGATATGTAGAATATGATGTATGATATGTAGAATATGATCACGTGTTATATATAGAATATGATAATATATGACATGTAGAATGTAAAAGGACACCAGAAACAAAATTGTAGACCTGCACCAGGCTGGGAAGACTGAAACGGGGGGACCTAGTGAATGACCTGCAGAGAGCTGGGACCAAAGTAACAAAGCCTACCATCAGTAACACACTACGCCGCCAGGGACTCAAATCCTGCAGTGCCAGACGTGTCCCCCTGCTTAAGCCAGTACATGTCCAGGCCCGTCTGAAGTTTGCTAGAGTGCATTTGGATGATCCAGAAGAGGATTGGGAGAATGTCATATGGTCAGATGAAACCAAAATATAATTTTTGGTAAAAACTCAACTTGTCGTGTTTGGAGGACAAAGAATGCTGAGTTGCATCCAAAGAACACCATACCTACTGTGAAGCATGGGGGTGGAAACATCATGCTTTGGGGCTGTTTTTCTGCAAAGGGACCAGGACGACTGATCCGTGTAAAGGAAAGAATGAATGGGGCCATGTATTGTGAGATTTTGAGTGAAAACCTCCTTCCATCAGCAAGGGCATTGAAGATGAAATGTGGCTGGGTCTTTCAGCATGACAATGATCCCAAACACACCACCCGGGCAACGAAGGAGTGGCTTCGTAAGAAGCATTTCAAGGTCCTGGAGTGGCCTAGCCAGTCTCCAGATCTCAACCCCATAGAAAATCTTTGGAGGGAGTTGAAAGTCCGTGTTGCCCAGCGACAGGCCCAAAACATCACTGCTCTAGAGGAGATCTGCATGGAGGAATGGGCCAAAATACCAGCAACAGTGTGTGAAAACCTTGTGAAGACTTACAGAAAACGTTTGACCTGTGTCATTGCCAACAAAGGGTATATAACAAAGTATTGAGAAACTTTTGTTATTGACCAAATACTTATTTTCCACCATAATTTGCAAATAAATTCATAAAAAATCCTACAATGTGATATTCTGAAAAAAAAAATCTCATTTTGTCTGTCATAGTTGACGTGTACCTATGATGAAAATTACAGGCCTCTCTCATCTTTTTAAGTGGGAGAACTTGCACAATTGGTGGCTGACTAAATACTTTTTTTCCCCCACTGTATATGTAGAATGTTATATGAAGAATATGATAATATGTTATATGAAGAATATGATAATATGTTATATGAAGAATATGATAATATGTTATACGTAGAATATGATACTATGTTATATGTAGAATATGATAATATGTTACATGTAGAATATGTTATATGTAGAATATGATAATACACTGAGTGCACACAACATTAGGAACACCTTCCTAATATTGAGTTGCACCCCCTTTTGCCCTCAGAACAGCCTCAATTAGTCGGGGCATGGACTCTACAAGGTGTTGAAAGCATTCAGAAGGGATGTTGGCCCCATGTTGACTCCAATGCTTCCCACAGGTGTGTCAAGTTGACACATTCAAACTGTTGCACCTGGCACCTACTACCATACCCTGATCAAAGGCGCTTAAATATTTTGTCTTGCCCTTTCACCTTCTGAATAGCACACATAGCAATGACGTGGTGCACATATCTCCACATACACTGAGTGTACTAAACATTAGGAACACTTCCCTAATATTGAGTTGCACCCCCTTTTGCCCTCAGAACAACCTCAATTCGTCGGGGCATGGACCATTCTTGATACACATGGGAACTATTGAGTGTGAAAAACCCAGCAACGTTGCAGTTCTTGACACAAACTGGTGTACCTGGCACCTACTACCATACCCCGTTCAAAGGCACTCACCCTCTGAATGGCACACATACACAATCCATGTCTCAAATGTCTCAAGGTTTAAAATCCTTCTTTAACTTGTCTCCTCCCCTTCATCTACACTGATTTGAAGTGGATTTAACAAGTGACATCAATAAGGGATCATAGCTTTCACCTGGTCAGTCGATGTCATGGAAAGAGCATTTGTTCCTAATGTTTTGTACACTCAGTGTATGTTAAATGTAGAACAAGTTATATGTAGAATATGTTATATTTAGAATATAACAATATGTTATATGTAGAATATGATCACGTGTTATATGTGGAATATGATAAGGTTATATGTAGAATATGTTATATGAAGAATATGATATGTTATATATAGAATATGATATGTTATATGTAGAATATGTTATATGTAGAATATGATATGTTATATGTAGTATATTATATATTATATGTAGAATATGATTATGTATTATATGATCATATTTATATGTTGAGAATGATAATGTTATATGTAGAACATGATATGTTATGTGTAGAATGTATTATATGTAGAATATGATAATGTTATATGTCAAATATGATCCTTTGTTATAAGTAGAATATGATAATGTTATATGTAGAACATGACATGTTATGTTTAGAAAATGATCATACATTATATGTAGAATATGATAATGTTTGTTACGCGGAGTGGAACAGGGGAACCCAAGAGCAGACTCAGACGAGGAGACTGGGATGAAGTAACCAAGGTATTTATTGAAACACAGGGGGAAGATGGAGTGCAGGTCAGGGGAAACTGCTGGAAACCAGGTGCGGAGGCTGAGGCTGGAGCGAGTGGGATTGAGACAGGGTGAGCAGGTCCGGAGGGGAATCCAAGGGAGTAGTAGAGTGGGGAATCCAGGACAGAGTAGCAGGATGACGAGACGTGGGACTGGAGACAGGGACCAGAGTCGGAGCGGGCAGAACTGTTGCGGAGAGGAAAACCGCGTCAGGCAAGGAAAACAGGCACAACAGAATAACAGGATCTGAATAGTAACAAACGGCTAGAAGCGTAGACTGACTGAGCAGAGATTACAATCTGGCAGTGTGGAAGTGGCAGAACTGAGTATTTGTAGAGGTCTTGAATATTGGAACAGGTTGCAGCTGGTGGGGATCTGCTCTGACTCCAGCACACCTGTCTCCGCCCACACAATCACACACACACACAAAGAGAGAGGGAGAGAGTACTGGGGGAGTTGCGGCAGGTCAAGGAGACACAGGATGAGCAGTAGAGGCTTATCTGGGAGTGAGGTATAGAAATCCCGTAAGAGGGAGGGGTCCAGAATGTGATGGCGGGGCACCCAGCAGCGCTCCTCAGGCCCGTATCTTTCCCAGTCCACCAGGTACTGCCAGCCACGACCCCGACGGCCCACGTCCAGAAGTAGCCGGACAGTATAGGCAAGATGGTCATCAATGAGCAGAGGGGGTGGAGGAGCTGCTGCAGGAAGAGACAGGGGATTGGAGCAGACAGGTTTAATCAGGGATACGTGGAAGTTAGGATGGATCCTAAGTGAGGCTGGGAGTTTCAGGCGCACCGCAGAGGGATTAATGAAACGGTCAATTTCAAAGGGACCAATGAATCGGGGGAAAAGTTTATTCGATGCCACCTTCAATGGCAGGTCCTTCGATGAGAGCCATACCTTTTGACCCGGGGTGTAGACTGGAGCTGAGGCCCAGCGACGGTACGGTGACAACGGCGCAGATGGTCCTGGACAGAGGGAACCGCAACCTCAACGTCTTGGGCGGGGAACAAGCGGGGGTTGGTAACCCAGAGCACACTCGAAGGGTGACATACCTGACGAGGTGTTGGTGAGTTTGTTGTGGGCATATTCAACCCAGGGTAGCTGAGCGCTCCAGGAGGTAGTGTTAGCAGAAGTCACGCAGGGTAGGGTTGGCCCGTTCTGTCTGACCGTTGGTCTGGCCATTGGTCTGGGGGTGATATCCAGAAGAAAGACTGACATTGATACCAAGAGCTGGACAGAAGGATCTCCATACCTGGGAGGTAAACTGGGGTCCTCTGTCGGAAACGATGTCAGTGGGGATGTCATGCAGACAAAACACATAGGATACTAACAGGTCCGCAGTCTCCCTGGAGGACGGGAGCTTAGAGAGGGGAATTAAGGGAGCCATTTTGGAAAACCTGTCACTAATGGTGAGGATGACGGAGTTACCGTTAGATGGGGGAAGGCCAGTGATGAAGTCCAGAGCTATGTGTGACCAGGGGTGACTGGGTATGGGAAGAGGGTGGAGCAGACTGGAAGTTGGTTTAGTGGTCTTGTTCCGGGCATAAACCGAAC